CCCCCTTAAAATCTAGTGTTTTTGAACATGTCTCAGATTCGATTTAAACCTATCTTATCCGATAGATTTTGACGCGCTAATTACGAATTTACCAACCACATTGGGCTATCTCCTTTAGTTTCGCCGTAATCGGCGTTTAAAAATTCAAAAATTTTTTGCGATATATTGACTTGGCTTTGGCCTCATTCACCTATTTGAATATTTTACAATCTTTTTTTAACACCCTGTATAAAAACCAGTAGCGTAGATTTAGGGATTTTGTAAAATAAAAAAAAAATTATAGACATTTTATTATGTTTTAGAGAAACTTGTGGGCGAAATGCTCGAAAACGTCCTTAACTCTCTGATTAAAGTCGTCCTCATTTTGCAATTTGATGTGAAACGAGTCCTTGAAATCGCCATTTTCCGCCGATTCCATCATGTCTGGGGCCTCGCTCGAGTCGCACAAGCTGATTTTGAGTATGAAAAGCGACTGGGCTAGACCGTACTTTCCGAACTCCCGCCACTGCTCTTTGAGGTTTTTGAGGGGAAAAAGGGTCTCGGGGTCGCAGCCCAAGTCGGCCAAAAAGTCGCAAAAACTCGAGTGGTACGTCTGGAGGATCAAATCGAAGTTTTTGAGGACTTCCCCGTCGGCGCAGCAGTAGAGGAAGTAGGACAAGTCGATGATGGGTGAGCCGATTCGGATGAGCTGGAAGTCCAAAAAACACATTTCCACAGGTTTTGACCTGTCCTCACCCTGAAAAAATCAATTTAAATTATCTATCTAATTTTTAGTTTTTTTCAAAAAAAAATCATATCTCGAAATCTATGAGCTTTAGATCAAAACGGTTTGTACAAGCGTGTTGTCCGGTTAATTTTACATACAGTAGTAGTTTTTCGTAAAAATCAAAATTTTTTTATTTTTTGCTCAAAATCGGATGCTTCTAGTCCTACTCTTTGAAAAAATTCAAAATTTTTGAAACTTGACCCAATAACAATTTATGCACTTATTTGAGTCTTTAAGACCTCTAGAAATCCAAAAAATGTTAAATGGATCAATTTTAAAGTTAAAATTTTTTTGGATTTTTGTCGAGATTTTGGTCTATTTTTGGCACCCAGAGCGGTCTAATGGCAATAACTCCGGACTTATTGGAGACAACTTCTTATATTTGGTACCGTTGGATAGAAAATTGAATTTTCTATCATATATTAAAAAACTCAGTGCTCTACGATGAATAGTTATCGAGAAAATTTCTGATAAAGTCAAAAATATCAAAAATATAAATTCGACTACAACTTCAAAACTATTACGAATTTTGCAATTGTTTTGACGCCAATCGATTCCCCGGAACATTTTACATAGGTTTATGTCAAAAAATTATATCATTGAGGTATAGTTTTTTCGCAATTTATAAATTAAAAAAAATTGCTCACCTTCAAAACTCAAAAAATTCAAAATTTTTGAAACTTGACCCAATATCGTTTTATGCACTTATTTGAGTCTTTAAGACCTCTAGAAATGTAAAAAATGTTAAATGGATCAATTTTAGAGTTAATTTTTTTTTTGATTTTTGTCGAGATTTTGGTCTATTTTTGGCACCCGGAGCGGTTTATTGCCAATAACTCCGGACTTATTGGCGATAACCTCTTATGTTTGGTACCGTTGGAAAGAACATTCAATTTTCTATCATATACAAAAAAAATCAGTGTTCTATGATCAATAGTTATCGAGAAAATTTCTGTTAAATTCAAAAATATCGAAAAAATAAATTCGACTATAACTTCAAAACTACTACGAATTTTGCAGTTTAATTGACGCCAATCGGTTCCCCGGAACATTTTACATAGGTCTACGTCAAAGTTTTGACAACAGATAAAGTTTATAATTTTTTTTAACATAAATTGTAACATTTTTAATAACTATTTTTAAAAAACAGTTTTTATTTAAGAAAAAAATTATTAGTATGGTAATCTCAAAAGTTTAAACAATTAATTAATATAAAAAATATTTTGGCATTGCTCCTTTACAACCTTTAAACATTTATTAGTTTATTTCCAAAAAAAACTGGTAGTTTACTCAAAAAAAATTTTTTTACCAAAAAAGTGTGATATTTACAAAATAAATTTTTGCATGGCAACATTTCTTGTGTAACACGCTCGTTGTAGGTTTCCATTAAAAAAAAAAGTTACTATGTTGATCTCGAAAATACAAACAATAAATTGACATTCAATTTTTTTTTTTGAATAGCATTTTTATAGCCAATGCACACCTATAAATTTATTTGCCAAAAAATTTGATAGTTTTGCCAGAATTACATCGTTTCCAGACTTTTTTTTCAAAATAAAAATTTGTTAACCTAGGATACAGGAACAGTGGCAAGTTTTGTATTACAAAAAAAGTCTGTGGCGTAGTTGAAAATTTTGAAAATTAAAAAAAATAATTACTTGATATTTGAACATGAAGTTGTTGTTCCAGCAGTCCCCATGCAGCAGGACCGAGGGTTCGGTATTTTCATCCGACAGCCCCACCAAAATCCTCTCAAGGTCCTCCTCGAACCCGTCAAACTTGTGCTGAATTTCAGGCTCTAGTAGCGTTTTCACGTGCTGAAACTCCTTGCGATAGACGCCAATCATGTCCCCTCTCGTGAGAAAAAGCCCGAAAAGATCGCCCAAATTCCGCCCAAAGCTCTGAAAAACCGCGGGTTTTTTCAGTTTCAGCCCCAGCGACAGGGCATGGAATTTCCCATAATGCCGAACCACCGCCAAAACGTGCTCGAGATTCATCGGCTGTTTCCGGTCGTGCAGCTGAAACCCCTCACTTTTCAGGTTTTGCAGAATCACAGCTTCTTTCATCACGTCGTCCGACACGCTGAAACACTTTGGCACGTTGCTGAAAATCTTGGGGACGCGTTTTTGGCGCTGAAACTCCTCCAAGAGGGGGAAAATCTTGCTGTAGAAGAAAATCTCGCGATCGTAYGCCTCCTTGATCGGCGTTTGTTTTCGRAARTCTTCGCTTTTTTTCGCCGATTTGATCACCAAATCGTAGGTTTTTCCCCCAGCGTGGGCTTGGAGGAACGTCACTTCGCCCAAGTAGCCGTCGCCTTTGGGGGTGTTTCCCCCAATGTCGAGGGTGTAGGAGGGGATGTGGAGGGAAGTCATCATTTTGGCCACCCAGTGGTGGAGATCGTCAACTGTTGCACTCATGGTCTGGCTGGCGTGACAAAACTGCGCTTTTTATATAGTAGGCCTTGGAGTAGAGTAATTAAGCAAGAAAATCCCTAAATTGCGACAATTATATAGGAGGTTTTTGCAAGTTCAATTGTTTGTTGGTCTAAATATTGTCAATTGAAAAATTACATTCATAAAGAGTAATAGAGGGGCATGTTATGTAATCGCACACATGTATTATTAAATGAAAAACACTTTTATTAGCTGTTGTTTGATGTAATGTGAACAATGTAAACAATTMTTAATTACGGGGCGAAAAATGACATGCATTTTTGAGCAATTGAAATAATAAAAATTTATTTTACAAGTCATTGAAAATTCTAGCTACGCCACTGTCATATTTTACAAAATACATAAAAAATAAGAAATTTGTGAAATTGCAAAATTTTTTCAAAGTCAATGAGGGAAACAAATTTAAATTTCAAAATATTGTCTTTATTTTTTATCACTAAAACGATTTGTAATTTCAAATTTTTATTACCTAATGAAGAATTAAATTTAAACTACTACAGGGTGTTTCAGAACATGAGGTACAGTTTTGCTGCAATTTACACACATAAAAAATTAGGACCGTTTTTGGTTCCCAAAATTTCAAAAATTTGTGCTTTATTACTATAAATTTATAAAATAAAAAAAAGGAAAAAATCTTAAACACCCTCCGTATAAAAATGGCTGTATTGTAACTTAAGTACAACTAAATATGGCTTTCGGTTGCTAAGATACAAGAAGAATGTCAAACTACTTTACTATAAAAAAGACAGTGCCGTAGATAATTTTAACAATTTTAACAAAATAATTATTATCAAACATTCTTATTGTAATTTTAAAATGAAAATAAAAAAGTATTAAGTCAGTGGCGTAGATTTTGTTTTGTAATTTTGGTACTTACACTTTTCTTATTAAAAATCGAAAAACGTTTTTCATAAATTAAAATAATTTTATTAATGTAAACATATATTTTCATTAACAAATTTAAATGTTAATGAAACACAAAAAACAGAGAAAAAACATCCTTGCTACGTCACTGACTTTTCCACGTGATCAACGACGTTATTATTACTGGTTGCTTAGTAACGAGTCATCGTTGCTTAAAAATTGTTTTTGGTTGCTAGGATACAGCACAACTGTCACCCGCATTGCCGAATGAGAAAACAAGACAGTGGCGTAGCTTTTGGGCAAAATCAAAAATAAAACAAATCCAACATTTTTTTTTATTCTAAATAAGTTCATTCTGCGATGCACACCTCACAATAGCTCTCATTCTTTGCCTCAGGAGTTTTTTATTTCCAACTTCGAATTGAAAAACTTTGAGATCTCCATTTTCGGCCGATTTGGCCAAATCGGGGGCTTCCTCCATTTCGGCCGTACAAATTTTCATAACAATTGAAGTGAGCATAATTCCGAATTTGCTCAGTTTTTTCCAATCCTCGAAAAATTGGGTTTTGGGGTACAAATTTTCGCTGGACCCCATTTGGGTTAAAAAATCACTAAAACACTTGTGGTAATATTCCAAAATGTTGGTCAAATCATTTAGGTCATTTTCAGAAGTGCAGGAAAAAATAAAGTGTGATAAATCCAGAATTGGGGACGCTAATCGGCTTATTTGCCAGTCGATTATTGAAACTTTAATCGGATTATTTCTCTCCTGAAAAAAAAAATGAATTAACAATTAAAAAAAAAATAAAAAAAATTTACATCACAATAAAACAAAAAATTGTTATTCCAGCAGTCGCCATGAGTGACGACTTTAAACCCCTGAAAACTCATCAAGTCCTGAAAAATCGTCTCACAGTCATTTTTCAGCTTCCTCCACTTGTCTAAAACCCACTCCTCCAGCTCGTTTTTCAGCAAATCGCCCATCTCATCGATGGCATTTTTCAGCGCGTCAACCATCGGGTTCTCCCCCCGCCCCAAATCCCTGAAAATATCGTAATGCCCCACCAACTCCCCAAACTTTTCAGCTTCCTGGTCCTGAAGCGCGCCTGAAATCGCGTGAAACTTCGCATACTCGCGCAACACCAGCTCGACGTGCCCCCGCGTCATGGGGCGCTTCCTGTCCCATAATTGGAACCCCCTTTTGGCCAAATTCTCGAACACTAGCACGTCCCTGTCCCCCGAGAGCGTCCCATAGCACTTGGGGACTCCCCCGAAGGCGTTTTTCACCCCCCGATTCGTCTGGAATTGCACAAAAGTGGGGAAAACCCTCTCGTAGAAGTATTTCTCGTTGCGGAAGAAAATCTTCATGGGGGAGAATTTTCGGAGAACGTCGCTGTCTTTGCTGCACTTGACGGCAACGTCGAGGGTCTGGGGGCCCCCATGGGGGGCTTTACCATCGACATGGACGAAAAAAATATCGCCCATGTAACCATCACCCTTCGCCGAATGACCCACAAGAGTCACTCTTATCTCAAGCAAATTTTTTTTTAAACACGAATCGAGCCACGATTTTAGTTCACTTTCGTTGTAATTCATTTTGTCATTTAAAATAAACTTTTCCAAAGTCGCATTTTTATAAACGTCAACGACGAGATAAATATTTTATCAAGTGTTTATTTATGATAATGAACAAAAGAAAATCACGGTCATTAAACAATTATTTAAATAGTTTCATAATTGACGTCAAGAAAATTCCGAGCACCCCACTGACTTAAAGACCATTGAAGTGTTGTGTATTGGTTGCTTAGCAACGTAGCTTATGTAATGGTAAATGTTTCTTCCGGTTGCTAGGATACAAGTCAACAAGACTGTTGTATGCAAGAGAAAAGTCAGTGGCGTAGTTGGTAGATTTTTTATTACATTTTTTTCACTTTATTTGACAAATTAGTATTATTTTTCGCAATATTAAGAAAACACCCTGCATAACTAGACATTAGTGTGTTATTTTCAATTTTTTAAATTTTTGATTAGTTGCTAGCTTCAAAAAAAGTCTTTTTTTCTATTTGGTGAATTTAATATAAATTATAAATATTTTGTCAAATCAGTTTTAATTTAATCAAGAATTGGCTTTTTTCAATCGAAATCTTAATTATTTAATGAATGATATGTTGTTAAAATAACGTAGAAACTTTTGTTATTCTTCTTTGGTTTAACATTATTTTTTAACTAAAATCGGTTTTATTTTAAGAAAGCTTGTTGAATTATTTCGGAAAATACCTAGCAACTCCAGCAGGGTTTGTTTAAATTTATAAGAATTTTTCCTTTTAACAAAAAATTTGATTATTTTAAGTTGTTTTTAATTTTTGAAAAATGAG